CAGTCATGCGTGAATTCTATTATGAAATGGCCAAGAGATTATGTAACTTGGTTTTTTATAAATCTGGTGGACAATAGTTAAAATGTTCGTAAAACAGATTATAAACTATGCTTCAGTGGCTTTTTCCTGCCTCCTCTTGCATAAATGCTTGCGAGAGCACTCGGCAGTAGTGCAAAATCGCCACTAAAAAATTAATCACAAATTTGAAAGTGTTAGAGAAATTTTGAGATTTTGGAACTATTTCCGCTCTTCTGAAGATGTAAGGGATATGAGGCAACAAAGATCACATGCAAAGATTCTGTGCGCACTAAACATCAAAACCTCAAAATTCCTTAAGTCCTAAGCATGTACTTCCAACTTTAGAACTGAAAATTTTTCGCAAAAAAAAGGAAATCGTGGAATATTCTTTTTTATTCGAATTCACTTCTTAATTCCAGACTTCCTCTATTTCCATCTCAGCACTCGAAAATTTCTAATTCCCAATTTTAAGGCCGATATCTACAGCTTCTCCAGATCTCTATAAGAATTTGCTCCATTTTCGAGACTACTTTGGAATTTTAAAACCTTCCTACCAGTCACAACCAGGTAGCAAATAAAATTTGGAACAAAAAAGGCGGAAGAAAGTAAAAGAAAAAAGAACACCTTGATAAAGCTGCTGACATGAAAAATGAGGTGTCATGGCTCAATCGATTAGCTGTAGAATAATCAGCTCTTGGACTTGTAAGGCAAACAGCAATGGTTTTCCAAACAAAGATTAAAGGCAGTCAACTTTATCTATCAGAGAAGTCTTAAGAAAGAAAGCATTAGGGATGGGAGCAATGAGGAGATTTTAGAGGTTAGATCACAAAAGAGTGAGCCATCTAAGTCATTCTATTTCAGGAAGGACAAAAAAAACGAAAAAAAACGACAAAGATCATAAAACGCAGGTAAATTTTAGTAAATTTTGCGATGTTTCATTGTTCGCAAAAATAAGCAAAAGCTTGTGAAGATAGCGAGATAAAAATTTTGGAGGATTACTTGAGTTGACTTGCGAGAAGTAAAAATCAATGTTATTCTAGTAAAATTGATGGTAGCACATGCGGAAATTGAGGACTGTTAA